CTAGACAAACTTTAGGAAACACACAAATGGCTGCATCTCAGTGAGTGTTTAAAGTATGCCTGCTATTTGTTTTTAATAAATTGAATATACAGCACTGCATCATGATGGATTTTATTTCATGAGAGAAAAGTGGAGAAAGGGGAGTGACAAACTGAGCAAATATGAGTATAATCAGTGGAGATATATATTTCTGGATTAATAACAATCAAGCTTGTTTAGATCTTCTATTCATTTAAAGATCCCCGAATCTGGTGAGTGCATCTGTGACATTTACTTGAGTGGAGGTGAAGGCAGTGGCATGCTTAACAGAAAAGTATCAAGTGTTTTTGCTACAGAAAATCTATTGACAGATGTGAAAGATTCTGAGGACAGATTGAATTATGTTGCATTATTATTGTTACATGATAAAATGAATATAGAAATGTGGACTTGAGGAAATTGTCTAGTACCCAGCATGTTGCATTTATATTGCTAGCGTTTAAACTTAGGGACTATTTTTAACCACTTGCTGACTGGGGTGTTTACAACCCACTTCCTGTCCAGGCCATTTTTCAGTATTCAGCGCTGCGGTACTTTGACTGACATTTATTCCGTCATGCAACGCTGTACTGAAATTAATTTTATACAATTTTTTGGGGACAGATAGAGCTTTATTTTGGTGGTATTTAATCACCACTGGGGTTTTTATTTTTTACTATATAATGGAAAAAGTACCGGAAATTTGGGGAAAAAAATGTTTTCCCTACTTTATGTTATAAAACAGTTATTATTACCCAAATTTTTGGCAAAATATAAGGAGGGGTCACGTCGGGTAAATAGACACCAAACATGTCAAGCTTTAAAATTGCGTGCGTCTGCAAACTCGCAAAAACTACCATACCTAAAATTGGCCATAGGCGATGATTAAGAAGCTTTTACCGCTCACCAGTTTAGTGTTATCAGCGATTGATTGGCCGAGAATTATTGCCCTCACTGCGACGTTCACGGCGATACGTAACATGTGCGGCGTAATGGATGCATTCGTCGTTTACGCACTTAGGTGCACTTTACACATGTTTGCATGTGTATGTGGGGGGCGGGGGACTTAAAACAATTTTTACATTTTTTTATTACCTTTACATGTGACTTTTAATTTTTTAATATTGTTTTGTAACATTCTTTTAAACCAAATTTTTTCCACTTAACTTTATTGCTATCACATAGGGGACTAACAAGCCCCCTTTGTGATAGCAAAATAAGTGACAGGTCCTCTTTATGGAGACATCAGGGGTCTTTAAGACCCCTAATGTCACCTAGGGACCCCCAGAGAAGCTGATAAAGTAAACACCTGCTTCACCAGCTTCTCTCCGGTTCCTGTACCGGAGAGTGACACTGAATGCAGGCAGTGATGTAATACACATCACTGCCTGCATTCCGAAGTGGAGGAGGAGATCATACGGAGCTGGTGTACTGAGCTCCATTTAATCTCCGGCCGCAGAGCTGCTGTGCTGGTCCCAGGCTCACACCGGGCACAGCGAAGCTCGGGATCACCAGTAGCGGCTGCGGCGGAGGGGGGGGCGCACACCCGCACGCATATTACAAACGATCGGGCGTCTCTACAGACGCCCAAACGCTTGTATGTAAACAGCCATCACCAGCTGTTTACATTGCAGGCTGATTTCCCGCTAGTGCCTGCTGCTAGCGGCGGGATGGTACGTTTAAAAAACGCCCACCCGCATTCAAGAAGCCGCTGTCCGGCCGTTTAATTACAACGGGCAGACAGCAGGTGGTTAAGGCACTACACATATAAAATAAAACTGTTTTTACTATACACATACCTTCTATAGAACTAAAACATTGCAGTAGACTTACTGTAAAAGTGTAGAAACTAAAACTTTAGCAAGATTATTTGTTATAATATTTCTCTCATAATCAAAATGAACCCGTGCCTAGAGAATGAACATTACGGTATTAACATTATTCAAACAAGCAGTAAACATACTTTAAAATAGATCACCATTCCCACTTGTAACTGCAAGCATTGTGGAGAAATCAATGTTTACAGTTAACAACAAAGGCACAACTATTATCCCCTTTACTTTCTATAGAGAGAAGAAACTTGGGAGTGTGACAGCCTTCTAATGTAAATGCATACCAGGTGTTTCCAGACAAGCTGTAAAAGAAACCTGAAGAGATCATCTTTGTTATTTATTTCATTTTTATAGCGTATGCAAGAAAAATAGAATATGCAAAGAGAGATATTATTAAAAAGAGTGTACATTTTACCTTAGATTTGCCATTGTGTAATCTCTGTGCTATTTGGGTTACAAGTAGAAAAGTCTCTGTGCAAATATAGATTCATAAAAACTGGAGAAAAGAAAATGAGAACAAAAGTTTAGTTATTTCCCATTAGGTTTCAACATGCCTTTTATAGAAAGAGTAAATTAAATAGGAATTCTGAGTAGCTGCTATGGGAAATGCTATTATTCCCAATTTCCTTACTGTAGTTTTTATGAACCTGCCACTTTTTATTAATAGCTTGTCATATGTAGAAATAGTTATTGAAGGTTTGATTTTACTTCTTGCCTAGGTAATAACAGGCTTGCTAAGCTGTTGTGTGGTTGTCATTTAAAAATAGTATGTATCTTTTTATACACAAACACATTTACCAATATAATAACCAATATATAATAATATAAGAAGATATTAGAATGGTATTTGAATGTCTTTTGATGTATACTTTGGTGTGTGGGAATAAATGTGTGATTGGACTGGCCCCCATAGTGGAGAGGCAGAGTTCAATAGAGATCTGGAGCAGAACATTGTATGATATATGTGAATTGTTTGACATGCTAAAGGATTGGTATTTTAGTCCTGAGATGTACTCAACCCTGCCAGAGAACACAGGGAGTATGATGGCCTAGCTCTTCTCCCTCCCCTCAGCATGTGAGATACTAAAGGAGCAGCAAAAGACTGATGAGGTCATGTCTCTGCTCTCTCCTTCTGTCAGAAAGTATGCAAGCAGTACATATTACTGGACCCTATTGCTGCCCCTTACTCACCTGTTCTGGGTGCTGGTGTACAAGAGGCTGAAATCAAGTCAAATTAAGGTATTTATATCAACAGCATTTGAAATGCATTTAACTATTTAAACTAAAAACATAATTGCGTGCTTTTCTAAATATATGCCTGGAGTTCCGCTTTAAAGTTGACCTAAACCCTATGTGGACAACAAGGCACAAGCCACAACAATGGAGAAACACAGTTGGGAAAAAGTTTACACCCCATACCATAATGTGCTTGAATAAGGACCCTTAGCATTGGAGTGGAGAGACTGGAGCTTGTCCGGGGGGAAAAAGGACCCTGAAAAGGACCATATTAAAGGTTAGGCCCAAGCAATGCATCACATCCAGGGCAGATTTCAGAATATTTAGTATCCATCAAAATCTCAACATTGTTTTGTGATGTGGCTAAAATTGGCAGACAACACCTGAGCTTGATCCCTACAGTCCACAATAGGGATGCCCAGAGATTCAGGCATGGTGTTAAGAGGCCACCACCTTGGTGAAAACCCAAGGTCCAGTGGACAAGCCAAATTGAAGGGCAAAAAAATGGTAATGTTGTGTGCCTACAGCAAAACGCAGATAGTGTGGCAGAAAAATGGGGATGTGTAAGTAGGCATTCTTGATGTCCACAGAGGCTAGGAGATCTCTCAGGAAAAGGGAGGCAAAGAATGACTGGGTGGATTCCATACAGAGTTTGTAAATGCAAAGTTTGTTTAGAATGCATAGATCCAGTATGTGGTGGATGCCTCATTTTGCCTTGGGGACTGTGAATAGGTTTCAGTGCAAATCCTGGGATAAGGGTTACCCCTTGAGAGAGGATTTGCTCAAGAGCAGCATGACAATCTGCCAGCCTTTGTGGAAAAGCATGAGGGCATGAAGTGGTGAGAAAGAAGAGACCAGGATGTTAGTTTTTAGCCCCTGTCTATGATGTTCTGGACCCAAGCTTATGAAATGCCCTAGGACCAGATAGCTGCAAAGGGCAACAGATGCCCCCCCATTTTGATAAAGTGGGGGCACATTGAGAGCAGATCAAAGTCTTGCAGTGGAAATATGTTCCACAGACTTACTATCAGGAGCCTTAGCCTTCTTTTTTAGGGCATACGTGTACTCTTCCCTCCTATGACTTCCTGAATATAAGTATCCAAGGACTTGTCATAAAAGCTGCCCCCCTTCAAATTTCATCCGCACGAGACACTTCCTTGCAACTCAGGGCCTGTCAGGACAAATAAGGCCTTAAAGAGGGCCTCCAACCTCTTGCCCACAGGGTCTTTGAAGACAGAGATATGCACAACCAAGACAAAGATGTCTGTTCATGTAAGCAAAAAATGAAGGCTTGCTCAGAGTGGGAGGAGTAATATAGAGGTTGTCCTTATAGCTTTGTTTGCCAGCGTCTGGTCACCTGAAGGCAGCTGCATAAACCAATGGTCTATGACTTGAAGAGTCTGAGTCTTGTAATATATGATTTTAACATATACTGTATTTCTTCTGTTAAGCAAAGTGGGCTGTTATCATTTCATGACACAGTTTTATGGCATTATTAGGAAGTGCTTTGTATATGTTAAAATATGTTGTTTTTTCCCCACAAAACAACCATATTCTATGGTACAATAATTCATTTAAGGACAATTTTGTAAAAAAAAAAAATATATATATATTTGTTTTCTTTGCCTTCCAGTTCTCAGTTAAATGCTCAGTTAAGTGTCTGTACTGTCATTGTTTTGGTATATCATCTTTTTATCATCAAGAAAAAAACAGGGCTGAGTTAAATAAAAGTGTTTTCTTAACCATATCATTCTGCTTATACTAGTATGATTGCTAGTATGATAATTATCAAGATTCTATAATATTACATGGTTATTATGACACTTAATTGAAAGTAAGTTTTCATTATTTTATAGTTCATATTTTGACTGCAATACACTAATTTTGATTATCTTAATTCTTTTTGTATTCAAGATTTCCTCACGGGAGTCATAAGTATCATGACTGATATAATATGGAGATTTACTGGCAACTTCATGGGTCCCGATATTGTGTGCAGAGTTGTGAGATACCTTCAGGTCAGTAGAATTAATTATATTGTAAAATGTCAGTCATTTATACAAATATAAAGGCAAGGTCAACGCTGGTTCCATATATTAAGTGGTGGTCAGGGAATACATTTAAGTCCCTGCTACCAGTTAATATTTTAGGAAGACTTTTATAAACTGAAGAAAACAAATCCTGGCACAACTTTAGAAAGCTTGTTAATTAGGACCAATTAACTTGAAAAATCGAACTCTGCCTATTCCACCCCCTTCCCCAATCATTACTTATGAGCCTAGAGGTGCTTCAAACTACCTATAAGACCCATGATTTGTGATTTAAACTACACATGTGAAAGCAAAAATATAGAGGCATCCTCATTTTTTAAATGGTGGCTTTTGGCATCTATCTTCGCAAATGAAAGGTAGAAGGAATGACAGAACAATGTTTCTACTTGCTCTAGATCATTGGCTCAAAAAGTATTAAATTCAAAGATCCAGGATGGCAACTTAAAAAACAGCATTTATAGAAGTATTGTCATCCATGGCAACAGGACGGGTTGTGTATCCCTTTCACTTTCAAAATCAAACTTTCAAGTATCTTCCCAACTATTGAAGTTAAACTTACAGGTCTGTAATTACTTACTATAGAAAACGGAGAAGAGATATAGTGGAGATAGCGAACCGAGGCAGAAGAACCCTGATATAGGGTCCGTAACCAAACTAAAAAACTATTTGGAAGTCTAAAAGGTTCATCTCTGTTCTAACAGAGATAATATTATTGTGAGTAGAAGGAAGCCAAAGGGTTAACCTTCCAGACTCTAGACTCTCCAGACAAGAAGAGAGATACAGAATTTTCTTATTTCTCTCTCTCTTTTGTCTAGATGCCAGACAAATAAGTTCTCCCCACATAACTACTTTGTGGGTTTCCCACAGAGATATAGGGGATGAAACCAACCCCTTGTGTTCACTGAAAAAGAGGGAAAGGGACATTTGTATCCTTTTTACTGAATCAGAGAATGTAAGAAGAGTCATTCAATCTCCAATTAAAGTTTGGGGGAGTAGGGGAAAGGGAGACATCATTTAACAAAAGAGGGGAATGATCCGACCAAGAAATTGGAAAAATATGTGGCCTAAGAATTGAGGGGGGAAAACTTGGATGGGCAAAAATATGATCAATACGAGAAAACATTCATGGGGACAGGAATAATAAGTATAATCATGGGTTAATTTACAAATTATGCAGCGCCCGCAACATATAATGTGTTGAATGTACATGGGTTGTAGGGTTTTTTCCCCTCCATATATCAATCAAATTGTGTTCAGATAGCATTGTGCAGAAAAGAGTGGAGTGAGTCAGAGAAGTGTAGCTTGTGATCAACAGTAGTGTGCCTTGCATATGTTTATCAATTACTCCAAGAAGGTGTGGAAAAAACATGTCTGCCTAGTATTCAGAGCATAATAAGTAACGGATGTTACTATAGTCTCACATGTTACCCCTTAAAATCAAATATCTCCATGTTGGCATCCTCTATCTCCAAAGAACAAGTGAAGGGTGTATTTTTATGGAATGACATCAAAACTCCCCTCTTTGTTTTTGTAAAATTAGCTTGAAAACGGGGATAATTTTAATGTATATATCTTCGACTAGAGGAACTAGAAAATGTTGTTTCCTGTGAACATACCACATTTACCTGAAGCGAAGAAAAATAATTAAAATCGGTACTTCGCTTCTGCGGGGAGTTTAATCTTTGTACCTTATGTGATACTATATGAAACTCAGTAGACACCATTTTAAGGGTGAAAAGGGAAAAGCTACGATAGGCTCCTGTGGAAAGTTATATAATAAGGCCCCTGGTGGCCCATTTGAGATTCTCGATGTCCTTACAAAGACAAAAACAAAAAAAGAACAAAAAACACCACACAAAATTATACTATACAGTATAAAACCTGCTAAGCAGTAACAGAAAATACAAGCCAGTATTTCCCCTCGTATGGGGAATCATCACAATTATGACAAATCACGGCTTGAATTATCTTGCTTTGCATGTAATGAGTCTATCTCATATATTAGTTTCACCTTTTAAGTTGCATTAGTGAAATAAATGAACTTTGCACGATATTCTAATTATTCGAGTTTCACCTGTATACAAAAGGAGGTGCTCTATCCGGAGCCCTAAAAAGAAACATTAATATGGATACTCTATATAAAAAAGGGGGGGGGCACAAATATACCATAAACTTTAACTTGTCAACACTCTAAAGTTGTATTAATAACAGTTGCTATCTACCAGCCCCTTCCCAAATGGGAAAGCATCAGGCATTAAGCATCCCAGTGTTTTAACATTCTGTAACTAAATAACCCATGTATATAAACAATTTCCGATAATAATTAATAGTCACCAAATTCTTCTAGGCTAAGGAAGCGGATAACTATTTTAACAATAAATTAGCCTTCATTCACTAGAGTACTCTATACTACTCTAAAGTAATAAGGAAGGCTAAGGAAGTGGATAACAATTTTAACAATAAATTAGCCTTCATTCACTAGAGTACTCTATGATTACTCTAAAGTAATATTAATAACAGTTGCTATCTACCAGCCCCCTCCCAAATGGGAAAGCAACAGGCATTAAGCATCATGGTGTTTTAACTATCTGTCATTAAATACCTCATGAGCTATATAAACAATTTCCGCTAATAATTAATAGTCACCAAATTCTTCTAGTCTAAGGAAGCGGATAACAATTTCAACAATAAGTTAGCCTTCATTCACTAGTGTCCTTAACCACATCAGCCAAAAAAGAAAAAAAAAGGAAGGAAAAAAGCTAATATTGACACAAACTATAGACTCTCTGTATAGTTCCCCAATCATATTGCATCATCTGCAGTGTTTAAAATCAGTCCCCTGAGATGTTCTGGGTTCTTTGCAAAAAACGAAGACCCTCAGATTGCCCACGACGATTCCACGTTCAATACTCCCACAACGGGGCCAAGCGTTTCTCCCTTGGAGGTTGCAAAGGTGCGGATGTCGATTTGGCATTCTGTGCCATTAATTGTAGGCGTTCAAGTAGAAGCCCAGCTTCTTCAGGGGAGGTAAAGGAATATGCTCTGTTATTATAATTAAAAAGAGCTTTAAGTGGGTACCCCCACTTGTATTGAATACCATGCTGTTGATGTACTGCCAAAAATGGTTTCAGAGCTCTGCAGCATTGCAAAGTTTGAGGGGCAAGGTCTGCGTAAATCTGATAATTATAGTCTTGAAACTTAAGAGACCGCTTGTCCCAGGCTGCTTGTACAATAGCTTCTTTTGTCTTATAAAACGTTGGTTTCAGAATAACATTTCTCAGGGTTCCGTCTACCCGTTTGGGCCCCAAAGCCCTGTGCATGCGGTCCAGTTCAAGTTTCTCTACTAGGCATCCTGGGAGCAATTCCAAGAGCATAGCAGAAATGGCAGCTCCAAGGTCTTCTACATGCTCTGGGATACCGTGAATCCGTAGGTTGCCACGTCGGCTCCTATTCTCCAGATCTTCCACTTTTAGTAAAGCCATAGCAAGGTCCACCTTACAGAGTCAAAATCCTGTTCATGTATAATAACACCATCCATCTTCATCTCAATATCATGCAATCTTGATCCCAGTTGCTTAATGTCTCTAGAGAAATGAGAAGCCAATTTATCAGTAGCAGTGTGTAATTCCCTTTGTAAGAGAATCTTAATCTTTTCCAAAAGAGCTGCATCTTGGCAGGTTGCTTCTGACTGCTCAGTAGGTGGCTGAGAAGAGAGGCTATCCCTAGGGGAGTGCTCTATCACTTCCACCAGCTCCGGCGAGAGAGCCTGAATCTCCTGCAACAGAGATAACAGCAACGGCTTAGCCACAGCTCTCGTCCCAGAAATGGATGAAGCTGAGGTTTGCGGGAGGCACTTCCCAGAAGTATTCTTCCCCATATGGCCGTCTCACAGCTGCGGGGGACACATGGTCGATGCACCAAAGCAGACCGGGAGATCCATCAGCAGATTACTGAGCATCAATTCTCATGCCTTGGTGTTGTGGAGCTGACTTAGCATGCAGCCATCTTGATCAGTTGCTCACTAGCACTTCCCTTTCATGACAGGTGCATTTTAAGTGCATTACACAAAGCTATCATCTACTACCCTGGGCCATTAAGTGTGCTTAGACTACAAAATATCTCCCCTTTCTTCTCATCTTAATAACATAGGGAAAAGTGTTCTGTAGGTAACCTGTACAGGACTGATAAGAGTGCTTGAGATAACAATAAAAGTGCAAAGGTAGGTATAGGTTCACTGGAGCTCAATAGATTTCAACATATATTTTTGAAGTTATCAAACATATATAACAAAACACTTTCAGTGGTATTTTTAACAGACCACAATAGAACAAACATAATACGTTAATTGTAAGGGCTCATATATACACTGGAAACAAATACTTTAAAATAATTTGTGGACATAGCCTAGGAGACTGTAAGACTGCAGGTGTGGGTGTCCGTACTTGTACGCAGACAGGTTAGATCCTGTCTGCATCCAAGCACGGATACCGCACCCACGCGGATGTGCAGCTCGGGTGAGCGTACGGCCACATCCTCCCATAGGGAAGAACAGGCCGCTGTGTACAATCACACACAGCACCCGGCCTTTCCGGGACCAGCCCAATACAGCAGTGCACGGTGCGTGGATCTGTATGGCCCTAATCTACACTGTGTGAATGAGGCCTAATCCAAAAAGATAGAGGGTAATTGGGAGCACAATGTGTTGTACCTGCTGGAGTGGGTCAAATTGGAGGATCTGGAAATGCAAACAGGATATACAGACTAAATACATTATACCAAGTTACAAGCAACAGTAACTAAATCATGAACACCATAACCTGAGCATAAGAAAAATGCAACGTACACAAAGCTAATCAATGGACGAATACAGGATACCCAGGTACTGCATTCAAACCACTGGCTGTCAAGATATTTCGCTTCTCAGGGCTCATAGGGTTCTCTACTTCATAGCTAAGCTGACTCAGTGTGCAAACCCATCTCCTAAACTGTGATCCTCTGCACCCAAATGATATGATGCTGCTATGGCTTGGGTTTGGGACCTTTGGTTCAGTAACTAAAAGTACTGAAGCCATAGACAGACATGTACTTAGTGTTCTTAAGATAAAATCAGCAAATAAAGCACCATTTTATTGATATACAGTACGTGCTTCCTTTGAGAAAAATAATTATTTTATTACAAGTGTTTTGAATTTATTCACAAAGCTTTGAATTGATATGAAATAACTGTACATAGCATATTGCTTTTCTAAATGGTGTTATGGGTATCCTATTGTTGTTTCTCCTTGTTTAGGTTGTCCTTTTATATGCATCTACATATGTACTTGTGTCTCTCAGTATAGACAGATACCATGCAATAGTGCATCCAATGAAATTTCTTCAAGGAGGTAAGACAAGAATACGCTATAATATATATGCAGATTTTAAAGGAACTTTGCGAATAACATGATGTTTAATATAACACACTGACCAGTAAAACTGTTTACATTTTTGACTATTTTATGTTTGCTTTGAATGCATGTAATTGTAAACAAATAATGTATTTTATATAAGCTCTCTTTTATAAAATATTCACATATTAAAAGTCTCAAGATCATTCTCTAAGATAGGTCACAGTTTGTTTGATATTATAGTTGGGATAGGCATGAGATTTAGATGACCACCACTAAACACCAATATTGAAAAGCACTGGGGCAATCCTATAAGAAATGAATAAAACAAATTTTGACTTCTGACTTCTGAAATTCAGAATTATGGGTTTAAAAGTCAGAATTATGCATTTAAAACTCAAAGTTCTGAGAATAAAAGTCAGAATTCTGAGCTTCAGATTCAGAGTTCTAAAGTCAGACATCAAATATTAAGTCAGAATTCTTAGTTTCAAAGGTAGAATTCTGAGATTAAAAATAAAAATCAGGACATGAAAAGTCAGAATTTTGAAACTCAGAATTTTGACTTTGAATCTCAGAATTCTGACATATGAGGATTGATTTACTAAGGGCAAATAAGCTATTCCCATTGCAGCTGAATTGAAGCTCTGCTAACTTCCATCATCCAACCATGTACAAGCAAAAATACTTTTTTAGTTTTCCTTGCCCATGATTGGGCACTCTTTGCAAAGTGAATTTTCACCACATTTGCTAAGCCAGGGGAAAATTATCTTGCAAAGCAGCCTTTTTGCCTTTAGCAAATCAACCCCTAATATCAGAATTCTGAATTTTAAACTCTGAATTCTGACTTTAAAAGTAAGATTATTTTCACAAATTTCTTTTAGGATGGCCCCAGGACTCATTTGTACACCAATAAACTCATCTTCAAAAGTACTTTGCCACTCAGACCCTTTTTTGAAACATACACTCTTTTCAAAGCAAACAGAGAAAATTATTGAAACTTTAAAGAACTCCCTTTGGGACTTCATGACACATCTACAAACAACTTCTCATCCACTACAACCTACAAATACATTAACATTAAGAACTGTTACTGGTGTTTGATGTTAAATTGTTCATATAAGAAAAAAGGGATGGGCTCGATGTTTGACTCGAGCAACAGTTTGACTGGAACATCGGCAGATCATGTGTTTGGCAAACACACAAACTATCAGGGTACCGCACAATGTCTTGTGAATCCCTGATTGGGTAAAGCAATGCACCTGACCACGGGTCAGGTGTAAGACTTTGCCCAATCATGGCACAGTGCACTCTAAGAGCCATGATTGAGCAAAGTAATAATGACTTTGCCCAATGATGGCTCACACAGCTAGATCCTGTCAGATGATGGACAAATGTAAACAGTTGGGTGGAGCTAGCAAGCTGTCACCGCTAGCTCCACCCAATTGCATATATTTTGCCAGCATCTGTCAGAATGCCATTCTGCGGCGGGAGTTTGTCACGAGCAGACAGGTCGGCAGGTTTTATTTATTTAGTTGAGTGGTCGTCGTGGACCCTAGGATTACGTCGGTGGATCCATTTTTTGGGGTGTTTTTTTTTACAATAAAGGACTTGGCAAAAGCCTTTGCTGTGTTTTTATTTTAATTGAAGGACTTTTTAATAAAAGTCTGGACTTTTTATTAAAATTTTAACACTTTAGTGAATGGGTAGGGGTAAAAGTACCCCCCCTACCTATTCACACGGAGGGGCACATATGGGTGCCTCTTTATTGAAGGGGTACCCTGATATGAACAAGCTCCCTGCCAGCACCCCCACAACCAACGCCCCAGGACCTGTAGGGAAGAGGCCTAGCATTGGGGGGGGCGGGGGGGGCCGCCAGGTCTGTGCTCGGATTAAGGGTCTGGTTGGGAATTTTAGGGGGCCCCATGTCTTTTTTCCCCATTTTGGGGGTTGGGGTCCCTGCTTAAAATTCCTACCAGACATTAAAGGCCTGGTATGACTTTGAGGGGGAATCCCATGCTTTTTTTTCTTTTTTTTTTAAATGGGGTACCTCCTAACATTCCTACCAGACCAAAAGGGTCTGATATTGTTTGGGAAGGGGAACCACACGCTTTTATAAATGTCATTATAAATGTCATTTTTTTTCTTTGTAAATGTCACTTATTGCTGCAGCAGGTTCTATACATTGTACAGATGCACCACTTTACAGGCAGTTTAAGGGGACCCCCCAGACACGATATTTAAAGGAATTTTTCATTTATATTATTTTGCTTTAACGGCTTGCCGTCCTTCCATTGTGACAACTCACACGGGTGGGTTGCCGTCATAAGACGGCTTTTTTTTCCTGCTCGCGTGCGCCCCTCAGCTCGCACACAGGCAGAAAAAACTTGCCCGCTCTTTACAGCCATTACCGATCAGCGGCTCTATAGCTGCCGGTCGGTTGTATGCTGCGATTTGGG